TGCAGGTCTCACCACCATCTTATAGAATTTTCCCTTATGTTTGAGGGGAACTTTTCTATCACACAGCAAGTCCGATGCATTCCTCCACTTCAAGCATCAAATTTGAATTTTGTTGATAACATTCTTTCTTCAACAAATCAAATAGCCCCTCATTGCTGCTATCAGTTTTCCCCTATTCTTAGTGTTGAACTACCACTCTAGATTATAAACCACCTAACATCTACTAGGAATGTGCATGAGGTGTTCTATTTTCACTCATAAATGTAATGCCTAAGCATATAGCCAATCAGAGGAAGCCGGATTGATTTATCTAGAGGGCCGGATCTATAAGAATAAGGACAAAATAGACTTGTAAAATCTCCAATTAATTTTATTTGTGTTTAGTTATGTTATGTGATTCAAATTATGTTCACTAGATTTCAAACTACCAAACCAAAATTCAACTCAATCTAGTTTCCAGATCCAAATTCTGCAAAAAAGCATGCACTCAGAGAAATATATTTGATCCTTCAGATAGCGTAAAAGCAAAATCCTTATCAGAATTGGCCGATCTAAGAGAAGTTATAATTCTCCCAGTGGCCATTCATCTTATCCGAATGCCATCAATGCAGGAAATTGTAGATTAAGAGGGATATTGTTTGAACTCAGAGAAGTACATGAAGAGGTATACTGCGTACATCCGTGAATAAGCGGGGAGTCGGCCACATGGTGATAGCGTCCACCTTGCGTTTGTCCACTTGCACGCCTGCAGATGAAACTACAAAACCCAGGAAGTAGACAGCAGGGGCAGCAAATTCACAGTTACTTGGATTCAAGTAGAGTTGATTTTGGTGGAGGGCAGTGAATATTTTTGACAAATGCTCCAGATGATGGGTCGTTGATGTGCTATATACAAGGATATCATCAAAGTAGGCGACACAGCAATCGTTGATGAATGGTTTAAGGATCTCCATCATTAGCCGCATGAAAGTGGAAGGTGCATTGCATAGCCCAAAGGGCATGACTCTCCACTCATACAAGCCATGGCGGGTCTTGAATGCCGTCTTCCACTCATCGCCCGGGCGGATACGGATTTGATGGTACCCACTTCGAAGATCCAGCTTTGAGAAGATGGTGGCTCCGACCAACTTTTCTAGCAGCTCCTCCACCCGTGACACTGGCAATCTATACTTGATGGTAATTTTGTTGATCGCGCGACTGTCCATACACAACCGCCATGTACCGTCCTTCTTTGGAACCAACAACGCCGGAACGGCACAGGGACTCAAGCTTGGCTGAATCAAGTTATTCTTCAACAGCTCATCCACCAAACTTTTGCAGCACTTGGTGCTCCATGGGGCTTAATCGGTGATGAGGAAGATTTGGCAAATGTCGATCCTGGTATTAAGTCAATCTGGTGCTGTAAGGATCATAATGGTGGCAGATTAGCTGGCGCCGGGTCAGCTAGAACATCCCGAAATTGATCCAACAATTGGTCAATTGACTGCTGTCCATTTCTGTACTCACTAGCTGGTGCGGATTCTCTGATGACCAAAGCAAATAGCAGAGGATTTTCCTGGAATGAAGATAATAAAGCATTACCTGTGACGAAATGTAGAGTTGGCGGCACCGTCCCGACTTGTCTCCCTGGGCAGATGAATGCGGAAGTAGACAAAGCCGTTTGCCCTTCCAGTCTAATGAATAGGTGTTGGCACGCCCATCATAAATGGCGCCCACGTCAAATTGCCAGGGGAGACCCAAAATTAAATGACACACATCCATGTCGACTACATCACACAACACTTCACATGAATAATGCTTTCCAATGGAGAACTGAATTCGGCACATGTCAGTCACCATAATTTCCATGCCTTTTTTAACCCAGCTAATCTTGTATGGTTGTGGATTCTTCATAGTCTTAAGCTGCAATGCTTGCACAACGGTACGAGAAACCACGTTCTCAGTGCATCCGCTATCCACAAGTAAATCGCACACTTTCCCGCCTATGGTGCACTTGGTTTTAAAAATTGAATGTCGCTGCGAATTGACCTGCTTTCTTGGCGCTAGTAGCAGTTTTTCCAGAACACATATTAAAGGTTCATCTTCATCAGCAAACACATCTTCAACGTCGGTGTGGCGCTCCTCCTCTGGAAGCTCTTGTTCAAGTTCACCTTCATCATCAAGTATTTGTAGCTGTCTAGTAGGACATTCGTTGGACTTATGTCCAGGTTGAAAGCACCTGAAACATTTGAGTCCCTGTGGTCGTGGATAAGGATTTTCTTTAAAGAGACCTCTCGGTTTCGCAGGCAGCCTAGGATCAGTGCTCTGCTTTGCCGGATTCACTGAACCACTATTATCAATCGGTGGGGGTGTCTTGTGGATGACTGTTCCTGGTGGCTTTGAAGTTTCTGCTCCAGTCTCTACCGTGGCTCTACGGTGGGAACTGACTTGCCAATGCTGTGCCAGCTGCATTTTTGCTTTGAGAGCAAAATTCACGGCTTGAGAAAGAGACCAAACTGAATTCAATTCTAACTTATCCTAAATGCTGTCCTTCAATCCTCCAATGTATCAAGCTACCAACTGGTTGGTAGTTTCATTCATATCGTTTCGAGCCGACAAACTGTAAAACTCTTCCGTATATTCACTAACGGATCGGTTGCCCTGCGAGCAGTGCTGATATTTCAAATATAGCATATGTTCAAAATCGGTGGGAAGGAAGTGCGCACGCAGGAGTTGTTTCATTCGCACCCAACTATGAACAGGCCCACGTCCTTCCCGTCGCCGAGACTGCAGCAGCTGTGACCACCAAGCGCTCGCTCCACCTTTGAGTCTACAGGAGACATATTTGACTTGTTTTTCCGGCTCGATCTCCATATAATCAAAAAACTTTTCTACGGCGCGTTCCCAATCAAGATAGTCTTCAATGTGTAGTCTCCCATCGAAGAATGGCATGTCCAACTTTACTCGAAATTCCCCTTGGTGTCGGTCACGACCCAAGTAACGTCGTGGTCGTCATTCTTCTATTTCCGCTTATGAATCAGACAATCCATTTGGATTGATGGTGTTGAACTCCTCTTCCGAATCTGATAGATTCGGTAGTACTGTAGCTCGTCGTCGACCCCGATTCTGGAATCCTTTATTTCCGTAGACTGGAGTAATCAAGGTTGGAACAGGTCTTCCCAACCTTTGCGGAATTTCGCCCATTCTGGCGAAAGGTGGCTCTCGACGTAAGGCGGCTGTAAGGCGGTCCACCGCACCGACCATTTCATCCAGGCGTTTCTCTACACCAGTGTGCGCAGCCCAAAGTGCCTCCTAACTTCGGTCCTCTCTGCTCGACGCATGCTTGCTGGACTCTACCATCTTACCGAGCCACTGGCTCTGATACCAACTGAAGAGGTATACTGCGGAAGAAGCAGGTTCACAAGGATCAAGACAGCAAACGAAGGCAATAGAACAGTAATGGCTCCAGCCAAATATTGTATTTCATCTACTAGCTGGATCATCTTCTCCGGGAGAAGAAATACAAAAAGACTATTGCTAAAATTAGATACTGGTTAAAAGAAGCTGCCTGCACATATAGCTAAATAAGGCAAACTAGTGAGTGGAGCAGCCGGTAGTAATAACAGAAAGCTGCAAACATAACAGCAAAAGGAAAAAGGTAGTGTGCCTCCGTGGCACTGGCGGCGATGCTCCGCATCAGCACAGATGTCTGGAGAGAATTTCTATATGCTTATGACAGTATTTTAAAATCAAATAAATGGTTTGACATCTTTCATTTCATTATGAAAGGTTTTTAACAGCAAAAGAATATCATCCCAC